GTTCAGCAACTTTGCTGAGCCAGATTTGCCCATATTTTGTTGTGAAATAAAAATTAAGCTTAGCAAGGCAGAGTTCTCAAAGTAGCCATTGCCAGTTCTGGTTAAATATATTTAAAAGCTTCCATTTTTGAAAGAATTATGCTTATTCATGATCTTTGCAGCCAAAGGACAGAGACTAATATCATTAGCATGCAACCCCAAGGATAAAAGGATTGTCAGTAAATAAATTAGTTTTACAAGAAAAGCAGATTTTTCTTTGTATTTTATTTTTCCATTATACATTGAGTTTTTGAAAACAAAGTATAATTTGAAAATAAATACTTTTTGGTAGTATGCTATATAATAAAAATATCTAAGTGAGAACTAAGTTCTACAGAAAATCTGGCATCAGTTGTGGCCTCTGAATGTGTTAAAGCCTGGTTCAAGCCTTTTATAAACTGTATTATTTTGCTTCCATATTCTACAACAGGCCATACTGACCGATGAATGAATCCTTCTATATGAATAGAAGCAAAGGAATTATCTTGCTTTAAATAAGACTTCTAGATAATTAAATGTTTCAATCAGTAGGTCAAGAAAGGTAAAATAAAGATAATAAGCAATTTTTTTTAATAGAATTTAAGTTTATGACTGTATATTTCCTGTAAATATATAGAATGGTGTCATTAAAAAATACACTTCAGCCATAGAAAGAATTATAACTTGGTATTTACTCTCTGTCTACTTTTGTTACATAAGTGATACTGAAGTAGCTTAATCCTATTTTTGTGAATACTTTCCTCATTCATTTCTGTTACCTTCATCTCTTCTACCTTCCCTCCTAAACAGGTTTTGAAAGGAGACTCTTGGCTTTCAATGCCTCTTTACTTGTATGTTTGACTTGTCATACTTTAAGTTTTCTAAACTTTTGTGAAAGTGATGAACATTTGGAACTTGAAAGCATTGGTCACTTTTGACAGGATTTGATCAGGATCTGACTTCTTAACCCTCCAAAGTTTATTACGTGTAACAGAATAACACTAGTATCTGAGCAATGCTAATTATACTACAAGGTAAAATATTATAGATTTTATTCTTAATTAGCTTCTATTTATTTGAAAATAATCTTTATTTTGAAAATGAGGTGGATAGGAAAGGGAAAAAAAAAAAAAAAAAGGAAAATCAAAGGTTCTGTGTACTATCCACTCAATTTTTATTTCAAATGAACTCTATGTTCTCTAGGGAACATCAACCTTCCTTGTAATTACAGGTTAATTCTCCTTTCCTGCTTTCCTTCAGGAGCTTGTGCAATTGATGAGCACCAGTGTGGTAGTGGGGAGTGTATATCATTGCATAACCTTTGTGACAACCTGCCTCAGTGTGAAGATGGCTCTGATGAAGCAAAGTGTGGTAAGGTTTCCTTCACACACGGAGAAGGAATGCATTAGTATTTGGTAGGAATTGACTAGGAAAACAGCCACAAACCCACAGCTAGTGTAAACTACTGCAGCTGTGTATAGACCATGCCAATTTACACGGCAACATCTCACTGAGCTTGTCAGGGCCAAAAAAACAAAAAACACTTTTCTGACATAGTGTATGTAAGCTGATGAAGATCTCTGGAAAAGGTAGGAAGTTCCTCTGTGCTTTCAACTGTGGTTGCTTTTAGGAGCCTCAAAATTAAATGAAAACTCATTACATGCTTTCCTTCTATATCCATTTCATATTCCCAAATTCTGTCATTTTTTGCTGTAATTAATTTGAGTTTCACAGCAATGTAAATTTTATAGTGTAGGGTAGAGAATAAGAGTCTTTTGGTGGAAATACCCAGATAGACTTGTGGGTATGAAGCCAAACTGCAGCACATGGCACCCTTCAGCCTGCCTGCCTGGACTAAATCTTGTGGAGGCTTTGCCATAGAGTGAAGGTAATGGCACAGCTTCAAAAGCAGTATCCGTTGCTCATAGCAGATGTGCACGTTCCTACAACAAGGAGACCAACAGCTGCTATTATTTAGTCCTCTGGTAAAAGTGTTCTTGTCAAAATGTAAATAGCATTCCCTAAAAAATAATTTAAATGTAAAACTGATGTTAAAATCACGTTGGGTCTAGCACGGAAATTAATTTGCTCTTTCTGACAAAATGCTGTTTTGACAATCTGTTATGGAGCACCAGTGGAAGAGATAAAAGTGACCTTTTAAGCTCAGTACAGCATAATCTTCCTTCATTTTTAAAAGCACTGCTAGAGATCAGATATGTACATGGATGTGTGTTGACAGTTCTCATTTATTTCAACATATTTCACATGCATATTTATAATCGTATATAAGCATGTCCGAAAGCATGGATCCACTCTTTGCATTAGTGCAATCAGCAGTTTTGTTACAACCATATTCTTCGTTTAAAATGTGTAGAATAAAATTCACTTCAACTTCTTCTTAAGCAAAAAAGCTGTGAATGGGTTTTTTCCAGCAGTTGCTAAAGAAGGTCTGAACGAGGTAACCATCACCTACATTAACATGATGTACATTTTCCCAAAGAATTTATTTTTGCCATAGGTTGGCCATTACTTCATAAGGAATTACCTCATATTACAGGACTGGCAGAATTGTTTCCAAAAACCCATTTAATCCAAATATTGGTTGAATCAATCTAAGCCTTAAAATAAAATGAAAACTCAGTTAGATATCCTTACATTGAGTCTTTTCAGTGTCCAGAAGTCTTGGTCATTTTCCTGAAACCAATTTCAATTTTTTATCAGAAGTGGCAATTTGAACTAGATAAACTGTAATTTTCAAAGACTCCAACTTCTGAAACTTCCCAGGGACTGCAAAGAAAAGATATAGGGTATCTCTTCCTTTGCAGAATTCTAAAATATATGGCATTTTAATTAAGCTGTTGTGGAGTTCTCAATGACTCTCTAACTCCTTACCATTGTATTTGGAGAAGAACATGGATCTGATGAGGAAAAATGAAAAGGAATTATAGCTCAAGTAGAAGAGGGACGTGTCTAAAGTAATTTGGAGAAATCTCACAGTGCAAGCCGTTCTGAGATTTTTTTGAGACTATTTGAAAATTTCTCATGACTGACGTTTACTGTTAATTAATCACTGTGTATCACTTCTTTCATTCATGCACTCTGGGTGCCAAAGGGGCATTCTTAAAAATCTAACTTTTTTTTTTTTTTTTACTATAGTGGGTATACTTTATTTTTTTGTGGAAATATTTTGGTGGAAAAAGGTTTTCTGGACAACTAAGAATTAAAAAAAATATTTTGCCAACCAGTAAAATGCAAATACATTGTATGTTTTTCCCTATTTCATGCTGGCAGTAACTGACATCTGCCTGAAATGCAGCTCTAGCTCCTGAGATACATACAGGATTCTGTTGACCTTCTTAAACCTTATGGTCCAACTTCCTTAGTCAATATGCCAATAGCATAAGATTTTTTTACAAAATATTTAATGAGTTTCTAAATTTTTGTTCAGAATACTGTTTTGGGAAAAGTTTTGATAGGAAGTTTGGTTTTCAGGGAGCTTTTATTATTTGTAAGTGTTTTAACTAGAGCTGCAATGAAAACAGTGACAATTCTCATAGCAATTGGAACTGGGAAATCCTTTTTTTTCTGTCAGCTCTGGTTTTAACCTTATTTCCAGTGTTACTGAGTGTTGCGTAGCTAAAGCTTCACACAGTATCTGGAAATTAGATAATGTTGTCTAAGAAAAAACATTGGTTAGAGTTGCTGGAGAACGTACTGTTTGTTCTCTATTCATGAGACATTTGCAAAATACAGAGTATGAAAGCCTCCTGTGGCAGAAATATAGAAGGAGTTAACAACATTTCCTTCCTGTGGGAACATGACATCCTGGAGATGCTGGGTTTATTACCACTGTAACATATTTTAACTTTTTTTCTTCTTTGCTGGCAATAATAAATCTGTTTATATTACATTTACGTTTGCTTGGAGTGAGGAGGTAGTTGGTTTACCACCTATCTAAAATTCTTCTGTCCATTTTGGTCTACAGTAAGATTGCTTAATGGTTCTCTAAGCACCAATGGGCTGGTACAGGCAAGGATTGGGAAGATGTGGCACCTGGCATGTGCAGATGATTGGAATGAACAGATTTCAGACAGTGTTTGCCAGCTGCTTGGATTAGGGTGAGTGAAAAATACTCATTGTCTTTGTAACTTGTTTGCAGATTTCTTAAGTCTATGTATTGGTGTTTTCCTCATAGTTTTACTGGTGTTTTTACCATCCAAAAAAGGGCAAATATATTTTTCTGTGGCAAGTGAAGTGCTTGGTGTGCCACCAAATCTATGAGCGTTGTAAACCTTGTTTTGATGGCATTCATTACAGGATCCTTGACTCTGAATGTGGTAGATAAGTCATGAGGATACATATTGGAGAACACTGGAAAACTGATGTGGACGTATTAGTCTTTTATCACTTTATGTCATCATTTACATCTTCACTTTTATGACAATGGTTCAAGATTAAAGCTGTAACAAACAGCAGCCTGGGCTGCTCTGCTATCATACTAATGTTCATTTCAAGTCAATTAAAGACAATCACTTGAGTATTCCTCCACTGGGCTCCCAATACATTTCATACCTATCAATAGATCTGAGTTGTTGGGACAGGAAACTCTATTTCTCTTACTTAGAGCAGGGAGGGAGGAGGGGAGTATATGACCGAAAAAATAGATTTGGCTTTAGACACTGTTCAGCAGAATTTCCAGGGAAGAGGTGAGCAGGGTTGAATGTAGGATTTGTGTGGTATCGTGTTACAAGTGTTGTATTTTTCCATCTATGGTAAAATTTATGGCCTGAATTCTGGCCTGCCTTACTGTATGCAACTTCATTACCACCTACTGAATAATAAATAGGTTTCATACAGTGCTGAGGATTTTAGGAAATGTTACTCATCCAAGTAATAATCAAATTAAATTCTCAGTTTGCAATTCATTACATTAGTCTCTGACTGAAATATGATGTCTCCAGATGCCCTTCTGATAAATTATTTGCAGAAATTACAGAGTTAGGAGGGCTTAGAAAAATATCTGAGTGTTATTGGAAAATATTTTTAATCACTGATGAATGTGTGTTGGTTTGGTTTTTTACTTTTTTCCCTTTGGGTAGGTATGCATTTACATAAATATCAGATACCTGCATACATAAATGACAATCAGCATTTATACATGCAGGTATCTAATTTATATATGCATATAAGAACATACAAACTATGATTAAACGTTCTTCTAGTCAAATACCTTGTACTTTACAGTGACCAGTAGCCGCCCTCTTCTGATTCTTTCTCCCCTTCCCTCACCTCCTTTCCCTCTATAATCATTTTGTGGTCTATTGGTTTAATTTACATTTTTATATTTGATAAGCTTCAGTGAACTTCATCTTCTATAGTACTTTCTATTACCTCTTAAAAATTACTTATGCTTTTGTCTCCATAACGTTCTGTGACAATACATTTCGGTTTGTCTCTATAAACTAGTCAGATATACTTGTTAAAAAAAATCCTATTAAGTTTCCTAGTTACTTCTTTTAAATTCCACTTCTCAGTTTATTACATATTCCCATTGTCAAGAAAAAGTATTTTTAAACTTAAATTGCATCACATTCTTGTATCCTGAGTGCTACTGCTGTTACTAATCCTACAGAACAGGATAAAATTCTCACATATATACATATATATAACTCATATATAAGCATCACACTATTTCTGCCTTCCATGAACCCCCCCTGTAACAGCATGTTTGTTAATAAGTGGCACTGTATTTGTTACTAAATGGATATTTGTAATAACTGTTCTTGAGTAGGCTATAGCTCATGCTCTTATAAGGAATAATTACTTAGAATCATGTTTTATTAGAGAAAGAGGCTAAGGTTCATTGAGGACAATTTACTTTTTCTGTTAATTGCTTATACATTTGCTAGTCTCATTTACCGTTGAATTTATTAGAAGGTCTGAAATGATAGAAGTCCTGTGGGATATACTGATTATTTACATTGCTGGGCTAGAAAGTGCAATGTTCCATGCAGAGTCTAATAAATCACACAGGTGAATCCTTTTGCCTGCATTTTTCCAGTGTGTGACTGTCACATTTGTGACATGTGCCAAACAGGAAGCAACTCTGGAGGCATGCCTGTGTGTTCATCTACAGAATATAGCTTAGGCAAATAATTTACAAATATTCTTCATGGGTCTGGAGTGCAAGGTACACAAATTGATGCTTTTGAGAAACATGAACAAGATCCTTTGCTCAGCTTGCACTTGTAACTGTGTGCATCTGACAACATTGTTAAACTCTAAGTATTGTTAGCATTGTTTTACCTTGAACCGACAAAAGCATACACTGAGCTTCTCACCATTCTTCTACTGGTCTTCTCTGGGACCAGAACCAGCTGGGTCTTTACTGAATTGTGCCCAGGAATGCTGGTAGACCTTGCAATTTTGCCATACTAAAAAAATCAACAAGGACTGAGAGTTTAGGACTTGCTCTCAACCTTGCAGTCTATTTTTCTCATGAACTCACAAAATTCTTGAGAAGGAAACGAATTCATTGGAATGCAATGTTTTGTTTGAGATTTCCAGGTCAATTATTAGCTTTTCATCCTCCCCACTTCTGAATGGTCAGTAGTAGCTACATGCCTAGCTCCTTGAGACACCTCAGAAAATCCTGTCTTTGTCAGACCCAGGTTCTCCAGTGTGCTGAGAACATAACGTGTGGCCTGAAAGGGGTGGAAATGATCCCCCAAAAATTATGCACAGAAAATTTTTATTCTGATGCATAATTTTTTATTCTAATGGTTAAATTAGGTTAATAGATAGTATGATCTTACTCTGCTGTAAAGCCAATTACAGTCATGTGATGAATGTAAGAAAGAACATGATTCTCAGTGTATCCAGGTTATGTTTACAGCGTTGAGGACCAGAATTAGGACGGTCTTCATAATTTGGTGATAGACTTAATTTCTTGTCAGTTGTCACCAAATAATAATGTGCATTTTGACCTGAAAGCCACAGGAAGAGTCTCAATTCATTTATTTTTTTTTATTTGTAGGACCACAACTTCAATTAGGATGAGATACTGCTAGTAAGCGTGGCTTAAACCCATTGCATAAGAAGCTTCATTTCAAATCCAGAAAGTATAGAGAGGTTACTTTTATTTATCATTTGCAAATTTTCGTATAAAAAACTGTGTGCACACAAGCATTTAGAAAACAACAGCTCTTTATGTGAGTCAACATGTGAGCAAAGCTTTTATATGCCAAAGAAATTTGCTATTTGTAATTTACTACTATTCTTCATTGTTTGTTTTTTTGTCAGAAAATCAGTGGATGAAACAGAAACCTGATGTGTGACTCAAACACAAATTAAACAAACTGCAAACATCTCACAGAGTGAGAACTAAACAATTGATTACAAAATGTGTGAACATATTTTCTTCAAATAAGAAAATAAGAAATGCCTTGGGCTTTTTTTGTTGTTGTTGGTTTTTTTTTTCTTCTTTTTACCAGGTAAAAGAATTGTAGCTATCAGACAATTGCACTTCTGTCCTTATTCTGAATATTTTTTTCAGCTTGATACTTCATCATCTAAATCTTTCCTAACATATGTTACTGCTTATTGTTACTGAGCACATCTGTGACAGAGTTAGAAACTGAAATCATAGTGATCCACAGAGTATGCAGGTACAAGAGGACCAATAATATTTGAGGAATTTACTGCACAGATATCTCTGCAGCTCTGTTTAAGAAACTTCTAAGACTATTCTCTTAAATTTTCTGTAAGTTTTGCCTAGTGAGCATGTTCAATGGAATGAGGGTTACTGAACTACTAGGTTAGCTTTTTAAAGGCCATTTTTATCACAACCTGCAAGATTTCTAAAAGATCATTTCCACTAACAGAAACTAAAGAGATGTGACACTGCATTTCTGGACCTGTAGAACAAACTGTATTCTTGTGAATAAACTGAGTATCTCCAGGAAAAACCTATAATTTCTTATACGTACAGAAATGCTTAACCCTCATAATTTACCATTACTCTCATCATTTACAATTTACCATTAATTAAAAGAGTAGCAGATTGATTTTTCTGGTCACTCATAAAGCTTCAAGATTTCCAGTTGTGTGTTCTTCAGCACACTAAGAAACCAATTAAATTAACAATGGTTATCTCAAAAAAGGGCTTAGATTTTATTTTTTTAAATTTTATTTATTTTATTTTAAGCTGGGGAAGCTTAATAAAGCCTCTGTGGTTACTGAGAAGCTCAGAAAACTTCCAAACTGTAATCCAGAAATTTCATCATTTCTTAAAAAAAAACCAACCAAACAAAACAAAACAAAAAAAAACAGAAGAGTGGGAAATAGTTTGCTCCGTCTTTTCTGGAAAAGCCCAAGAAAGATGCTGAGGTGAGATGAGAGACCTTCACAAGCCTTGACCTTTAAGGTTTATAGTGTTTGCCCTATTAGAAGTCAGTTACAGTAATCTAGTAAAGCACACATGCATTCAGTTGAAATTTCCTGGTACAATGTGCCATGGAAAATGTAAGCCAGCAATACCCATAAATGTACATACTCTAAGCTTTTCCTGGTAGCATGTTCATTTTTTACATTGGTAAAATCTCCTGCTCAAGAAACGACTTAGTGGCTTTTATACACATTTAAACTTATCTTAGCTCAGTGATTAAACTGGTCTAATCGTAGAATTCTACTCTGCCTACCTGGATTGGCACTTTACTACTCTCCCAGACTGTCTAAAAAGTCAAGTTGGGGTTCTGGGGGAATCTCTGAAGTACATATTAGTATAGGAGTGTTTTATATTGAAAAAAGTCTGGACACTAGGCTGTACATATAGCTAGAGAAACGTGCAGTAATGACTTTTTCAGTAGGGTGAGTCATACAGTTCTAGTGGCACAGCAGGGCTATTGAACACTTCCTTTCTCCTATACATAGCCTTACTCTCCATACACAGCAGATTTGCAGGCAGATTCTATACTTCCTAGTTCCCAAGAGAATGAGATTTGCTGCACTTGAAGAGAAGAGATGGTACTTCTTCAATACACAGGTGCTCCCTGTGTATTAAACCTACACAAATGGTTCTCTTATTGCTACTGAGATAGGTATGGCTAAAGGGTCACATGGGAGTAGGCTGTCAACCCTCCAAAAAATTGTGTACTCTGACCAAAATTATCTTTTTTCCCAACATTTTCTCAAGAGAAAGCAAATATGTATATTGGGTATATGTTCCAAGCCTGTTCAGCTATTACCGTTCCATTTTGCATCCTAAGTTTTAGCTCCATACATTTTATAATTGGTACTGCCAACACTTCATTGTGGCACAGAAGACCAGAAACTGATAATTTACTGCTATTAAAATAATTAATTGCTGTTGCTTTCAATATTATTGTAGCATTAGAAATCCTAGAAGAACAAGTAAGACTGAAAGTATGTGAGTTGCATTTTAATCCATGTGAGTTTCAAGCCTCAAAAATCTCCTGATAAATAGTCATTATTTCAGGAAAAAAAATATGCAGTTTATTCCACCAGCATAATAATTTCCCAAATGTTCCTCCACTGGTCGAACAGGATTAACATCTAAAAATATGCATGTATGCATGTGTGTCTTTTCCTTCCAGGGATGTAAATATGTCATCAACTGTATTATTCACTGGAGATGGCCCATTTGTCCACATCACCAAAGCAGCTAACCACAGCCTAACATTTACTAAAAGGTAGGTAGGTTTCTTCCTCATACAAAGGATAACTTGAAGTATGGTGGTGATCGTTTATACACTAATTTCCAGCTCAAGTTTACATGTTTCTGTATGACTATAAACATACCTAGGTTTTATTCTCTGTCTACCACTGAGTTCTGTGTAACACTGGGCAACTCACTCTTCCCCCTTGCATTCTTGTCCATCTATTTTAAATTTAAAATGAGAGAGATGTTTGCTACATTCTTAGCTGGCATTCAGTACAATCTTAAGTGAGGTCTTTATAACTGTAGAAACAATAAATACTGCTATTTTTACAAAACATTTCTTACTTAGAAATCTCTAAATTATGAATATATAATATAGCAGAAGAATTAAAATGGAGTGGCATTGACCCATGGTTATATAGTAGTTATCCCACTAGTTTCTCTCTGTAATCAATAGAGAAAAATAAGCACTCCAAATCGCGATCCATCAAGTCATCTCTTGAATTATGAAGAGTCACACTCTATAATCCATTGACTTTATTGATACAGATTTAGGACTATGTGGATTGTTAAAGTAAGCAATCCACAGACAGGTATCTATATTTAGACAAATTAGTGCCACTTAAAAATTACTTCTGGATTTTCTCCATACATAGAAATGAATCATTAGATGAGATGATCCTCAGAATACATTCAATTATATTCTAATCTTTCTCAGTCCAAATAATAGCTGAAGTGATTCTCAACTACTACAATCTAGTAGTTTCTTGCAGATTAAATGAAAATGTAATATTAGCAGAGGATTATATTCTCAGGAAATTCTAGGAGTTACAGTACACCTTCAAAAGCAGAAAATCTTGGCATAATCAAATAAAAAAAATACATTTATCATTACTACAATTAATGCCTTTCTGGTTATAGGAGGGTTTGTTATCCATATTTTCCTGGAATCCTACCAAAACCACAGAGGCAGAAAATTACTGTCTAATTGCTAAATGCAGAAACCATGTTGAGGATGGCAAGAATCCACCTTCTTTCAGGTTTCTTTTATAAACTTACCACATAGTAACAAAGCAGGAGAGAATTCTTAATTTGCTACAGTGTATTTTATGCACAGTTAAAAAAAAAAAAAAAAAAAAAGAGAGAGAGAGAGAAATTTTATGTTCTAATTATACTCTGTTCATCCCAAACATTACATTTATTATTCTCAGTGGTGGTGAAGGTGTCTTAAACTAATGGATATCATTGCAAGCTATTTTTCTTTTTTTCTTGAGTGTATGTCTAAACTGGTGTTGCCACAAAGATCTTAAAGAGCAGTAATGATTCAAAGATGACTTCTCTTAATATCTATTAAACATTAAAAAGTGATTATGCAGGAGAAAATGGAGTAAGTTCATTCATCTTAGTTGTATTGCTGTTGCAGAAATAAGTATCTTCTACCATGTTTCTTCTGGACAGCTGATAGGAATCATTTTACAGGGTGACACCATTACAAGTTCACACACTTTTCTTGTACATATAATGAATGACAGAAAGAACATATAAATTTGATAATTTAAAAAAAAAATTAATTAACTGGTAATCAAATTATAAAATTTATTTCTCACATTGTCTTTGGTCTTATTTAAGTGTAACTACCATTTTATCATAGGAGGAAACATATAACAGGACTTGAAAGCTGTGGTGGTAGAGACAGCAAAACTATTCTCTGATGCCCTTAGGTAAATGTATTTCTTGGCAGGACAGCTTTGCAACAGCAAAATCCTGCCTTGAAGATATATGTGAGCAGATTCCACAGGCATAATTGCTCTTGCCAGTCCCAGCTGAAGATCACACTCATACATGTCTCAACTACTCCAGATTTCTGCCTGGCATGCTGCTCTATTGATGACACTCAGAGAGGCACACAGGACGTGTATTCAGCACATGCAATACCTCTGTTGCCTTTTGGATTCTTTTGTGCTGACCAAGAGGCAGTGGAGGTCTGGTAAATTGAAGTGCAGGCAAGGAAGTAGTTTTCATACTGCGAGATAGCTTCAGAAAGAAGAAAAAGCCGAGGCCCACGAGGTAATTTCTACTAAAGCAATTAGTAGGTACTGGTGGTAAGACAAAGACACTCATTACATGCAACTCCCTGCTTCAATGTAAAAAAAAAAAAAAAAATGGGGACAAATTTGACATGTTGGATGTTAGTTGAGCCAATTTATGCATCTACCTAAGAGGAAGTGAAGGACTGGATAATGGAGCTAATATAAAGTACCACTGACCAGTCTTTTTAAGGCCTATGGAGGGAGCTTGTTCAAGCATCTTTAGTCACTATGAAATCTATGCAAAAGTTGGTATTGGTTTCCTGTGAGTTTATACATTTCTCCTTGATGTTTGTCTCACTACCAAGGGACACCCTTATGAAGTCAATACAGATTTTAATACAAATTACAGAATTTGGTTTCCACTTTTTAAATTGCAGCTTTAAAATTACGCATCTATCTTGGAGTGGAAAATGGCTATGTGAGACTATTCAGGGCTGGAGGCATATCTCATTCTTCCCCTCTCTGTAGTGAAGATTTAACTTGGGAGTTGAGAGGTGGTTATAGTTCCCACTTGCCCTTCTTGCAACACTATGCCATTTCAAAAATGCTGGGTCATGTCAGGCATTATTTCCCTCACAACAGATATAAAATTTTAGAGCAAACATAGTGAGGGATACAAAATACCATACCACGTTTAAAGTACCCTTCCCTTTTTTCTGTTTAAAAATGATGTGGAAATGCATACTGTAAGCAAGCCATTGGCAGACCTAGGTTTTTTCCTCCCTGATATGTGCGTATCAGATTTAAATTGCTAGCACACACACTGTCCCAAGTGTTCGGATTCACTACAAGCTATGAAGATAATCTTAAAACCTCTGGGTATCAGAAATGCTTGAGCAGTTTTGATCTGTGGTCTTGTGCTCTTCAGGCTCTGGTTTTATATCTCTGCTAAATTATTTCTAACCCTGTATATGTAGCTATATATTTTACAGTGCATTAGTAAAAAGATACAGTGATATTAAACTAGCCTCTTAAATTCTTTGGTCACACTGATCCCTAGTGGTAAGGTATTGAAAACATCTCAAAAGGTAGAAAAAATACCATATGCAGTTACAATTTTATTGAGAATCTGTCACAGCCAGATGACTCACTTTCCTAAAACACAAGAGGATTCTACTTTTCTTTCTACAACATACACTAATTAAGTGACCATTGAAGAGGAATATGTACATTTAATATTATATGTAATATAATGTCTATTTATAATTAAAATATAATCAAAACATGTGGACAGAATATCATATTTAACAGTTTGAGACTGGTAAACTAATGTACTTATATATATATATGTATGCATATGCTTATATACATTTATATATATGTGTATGTATGTATATTTGGTCGTTATTTAGTGTTACCTTGTACGTAGATACTTGTGAGTTAATTGCACTTTCATTCTAGAGAACACTGTTCGAACAACCTCGTGGCTCATCTGCAGTGCAACGTTAAACGTAAGTACACATAGCCTGGGAATATTTCACACAGAAATCAAATTGTTCAGTCCATAAAGCCTAATGTTTATAGTTTGAATTGAAAGGTTGGGAAATGGACTATAAAAGCTATACTCGTAATGATATAAACAGAGCAAAATTTACAGTCTTCACTTGTATTCAGGGTTAAGTATACACGGGAGATGGGTCTATACTGAAAACACATATATAAAAAATCCAGAAGGAAAGAACACATCTAAATCCAAGTTATAAAGTGGCATCTTGATTTCAGCTATAAAACACCAAATTTTTTTCCACAGTAATAGCATTTTTGAATAGCAGTTCAGATACTACACAGCCTATTTTTCCAATAGTAGTCTGTGGTGGTTTGACCCATAGTAGGACCATGCGGTCCAGCATTCACTCCTCCAACCCGGTGAGATGGGATGGGAGTCACAACAAAGGGGGCACAGGATTAGGAATGAAGGACTGGGACGGCTCACTCACCAGTCATGGTCACTGGCAAAATAGACTCAAACTTGGGGAAGAAAAATCAATTTAATTCATTGTCATTCATCTAACTAGACATAACAACCACATCTTACAACACCTTCCCCCACCCCTCCCTTCTTCCAGGGCTCAAATCACTTTACTCCCGATTTCTCTACCTCCCCCAGCAGCACAGGGGGCAGGGAATGGGGGTTGCAGTCAGTTCACCTCTGCCGCTCTGCCTGGCATGAAAGTCCAGGAACAAGATGTTCCAACACGAGCTTCCCATGGAGTCACGGACCTCTTCTGGCTCAGCTCCTGGCTCCAGCATGGGGACATCCATAGGCTGCAGCCTCACCCCCCACTCTGGGGGTCCACTCTCCACTCTGGCAGCGAGCAACATTCAGGGTCCCAATTCCAGTCACACTTGCCCTTAGGCTCAACTTCTCTGCTCCAGTGTGGAGTCCTCCATGGCCTACACATGGGTCTCTGCTCTGCCGCTGAATCTCCACGGGCTGCAGGGGACTTCGTCTTCTCCTACCCCATGTGGTAGAACTGGGTATGAGTCTCTGTCTTTCCCCCTCCTCCTCTTTCCTCTGGCAACGAAGCTCTCTCTGTGTCTGTCTGTCCTTTTTTTTGGCCAACAGTTGTCTTTTGTTAGGTCAATGGCTTCTCCTCCAGGTTCACCACCACCTTCTTCTTTCCAGGACAGTCCTTCCCCTCACAAATATGGATTCACAGAGGTGTTTCTCTGGTGCTCATTGGCCCAGCCTGGGTTGGGGGGGGCTCCACCTTGGAGCTGGGGGACTTTTTCCCTCTCACAAGGTGGCCCTTCCCCCACTACCTAAAAATCAGCTCCCCCACACACACAAACCCAACACATAGTCTAATAACACATGCTATAAAAATCTTACAATTTATAATTTTTTATTTTATTTTATTTTATTTTTAGCTTGTGGAAAACACCTGATAACTCAGAACAATGGAACAAGGATTGTAGGTGGAAGTGATGCCAGAAAAGGAGCTTGGCCATGGATAGTTTCACTCCATTTTAATTCCAGACCTGTTTGTGGAGCTTCCCTTGTCAGTGATGAATGGCTGGTGACAGCAGCACACTGTGTATATGGGTAATGTTCATTGCACTCAGAACCTAACACATTCTGATATTCCCACAACATGCAAGTATCCAAACACTGGACAGTTGTCAGTAAAGCTGGGTGGTAGTATGACCTGAGCCATCAGTCAATCCTGTATAAAGCAAAATACACTTTCAAAGGATCATACTGAAATCATTGAGCAGAGACGGTTTTTAGAGGGTTTCTAGATACTTACTTTAGAATGAAATTAAAAGTGTCTCTCTTTCTCCAATGACTCCAGGACATCTCTCCAACCAGCTGAGATGTCCATATGACATCCATACCACATCTTTCCTTTTTTATTTTAATGATGATTAATGGTGAATGATCTGCTCAGCATGGTGGCAGAG